TAATAATAATAATAATAATAATAATAATAATAATAATAATAATAATAATAATAATTAGTAGTAGTAGTAGTAGTAGTAGTAGTAGTAGTAACCAATTTCCATCATCTGGTGATTTAAGGTACTGGACTAGGAGCAGAAAAATCTGAGTTTTAGTCCTGCCTTAGGTATGGAAACCACCTAGGTAACCTTGGGCCTGTCACTCTCTCTCAGCCTTAATAACGAGGCAATGGCAAACCACTTCCAAAGACGTAACCTAGGATTTTGAATGGATTTGTCCATGTAGTCACCAGGAGTAAAGATGGTCTTGTAGGCAAAAAAAGAAAGAAAATCCACTGCAGAAAGAAATCCTTTTTGTTCATCCAGTATGTCAAATTTAAAACTGGGAATGTTATGCACTCTGACATAATAGTGTAAGCATTCTGCTAGTTCAGACCAAAGGCCTATCTACATCAAGCCCTGTTTTCCTGAGTGGCCAGCCAGATATTCCTAAGAGGCCCAAAGTAGCATAAGAAAAAGAAGTCTCCATCACTGTTTGTTACCTAGCATCAATTTACCAAGGCAGGATGCTTTGATTTTAGCCATAGCATAGTTTCACTGCAAATTTCTCACTATCAATTTCCTCTACATCCTGTGTAAGTGGGATATGAAAATATCATCATATATTTATTTATTAAACAAACTTATATGGCCGCCCATCTACCTGAAGGAACTCTGGGTGGTGAACAAGACTTTTAAAAAGCACAATATAATTAGAATAAAGCAAAACAAAAAAACATTTGAGACAAACAAAAAACAACATTAAGGCCTTGGATAGAATTTGCGTTCATCAATCAACAACATCATGCTGGCTTCATAAACAGATTTTCACTGCTTTCCTGAAGGCCAGCAGAATCAAGGCCATCCATATCTCTGGGGGATGGCTATGGAATAAGGCAGACACCAAGACAGAGAACACACGCTTCTGAAGCCTCAACAGGCAGCATAGTTCACCAAGGGGACTTGGAGCATGCCCACTCTGCCAGAACTAGTGGGATGGGCAAAAGCCATCAGGAATAGAAAGTCCCATGCAGGGCTTTAAAGCTGATGAACAGCATCTTGAATTACATCCAGAAGCCTACTGGGAGCCACCACACAGTAGTGGTGTTACATGGGTGTACCATGATGCACCCCTTCCTGCCTGTGCTGTTGCATTCTGGAACAGCTGCAGCTCTCTGCAAGAGTGAGTGTGAGCAGAATCTCCCAAACTAAGAATGGAGACAACTGGCACACAAGATGTATGTGTGCAAAGGCTGTACTAGCCATAGTTGCCAGCTGCTCTTCAAGCAGGAGCTGTAAATCCAGGAAAATCCCCAGATTGCAGACCAATCTGAGTTAACTTGTTTTCTAAATTAAATCACCCAAAGATTACATTGTGATTTTAAAATACTCTCTACACTATCTTTTTTTTGAAAACCCATGGGTTTATATCGAATTATTATAATATTTTTCAGTGCAGTTAGTCTTTAATGTGCAAGTTGGCCTCTTGAACTTTGTTTACTGAAGCTGAAACTGAGTGTCTTGTTTTTTGTACAGTAGACATTATGAATTAGTAAATTGGGCAGGACTGAATAGCAATTTTGTCCTTCCCCTTACTCCCACCAAGAAACAAACACCAAAATTAGGAGAAAAAAAAAAACATTACTAATGGTAACTATTCTGTGAAGACAAGTATTTTTGCTGTATTGCTTAAGGCAAAATTATGTTAGAAAGATGCATGGGACTGATTCAGCAAATGGTTCCTTGGAAATTGACTTAGCTTATTAATTGGCAAATGCATATGTGTCTCTTCGCTAAATGAAATTTCACTATGAAAGTCAAATATGCTTTAGTTATAAAGAAACATAAGCCCAGGTTTAATATCATTCTTCAGAAGTAGCAAAAATTCAGTATCTAAGCAACTAAGAAAATTTGGGAAATATTAAGCTCACCTGTATTCAGATTTGAAATATACAATGTTATTCCGGGAAATGAATTAATGGTTTCATGAGCAAGGTCTAAGATCATTAGTCTAATGCAGTACTTAACAACATAATGATTAACTACTGGCATTTAAACTCTAATAATTATGTTTCAACTGTCACCTTAAGATAAAAAGTGCTAATCTGCATTCCCTTCTCTAGTTGTTTCCTATCTTTCTGATGATATAGGAACTTGTAACATTCAACAGATCATGTCATCGCTTTTCCTATTAGAAGGATAAATGGAAACATGTCCTGAAAGCCTATGGAGCTTAAAATCTTATTCAGGATCAGTGGCATGAATTTTCAGTTTGAAGCTTCAATTCCTGAATTCAGTTTATACGTGATACATGTAGAGCAGGGTGGGGCAACCTGTATTCCCATAAGGGCCCTCCAGTGCCTGCCTGCCTTTCTTTCTTTCTTTCTTTCTTTCTTTCTTTCTTTCTTTCTTTCTTTCTTTCTT